TGATATATATAAAGAGGGAAAGCCAAACTTCAGATGTAGGGCAAACCCACAAGCAACAGACACAACACTGTCTCCAGAAAAGAAGTCTTACACTATTCCAGTCAACAGTGCTTCATTTTGTCCAGAAGCTCCAGGAGCTGCAATTGTACATAAATGACAGGGATGGGAAATGTGCATGCACATGTCCCCCTCCTGCTGTCAAACTGGCCACTGTAGCAACCCCCTCACCCTGCTACCCATTCAGCAGAGAGAGGAGGCATGCAGGGCATACACACCTTTTGTCTGAGTGAAACTGCACTCCTAGAAGCCTGATTCTGCTCAGAAACAATGTGTACATTCCCCATACCCCTTGATTCCCTGTGAAACTGGTGTGGTATTTGCCAAGGCAGCAAAGTTAGCAAGGGCATAATCAATGGGGTGGGCTGCAGTCCCCAGTAAGTTCCTGGAGTGGTAATGCAGCCCCTGTAGGTGACAGACTCCTTTGCCACAGTCTGGTAAGGAGGAAGGCTTTGGGATGGCTGCAGGGCAACTGCGGGGAGAGCTGAGTCACTGGAAGTAGATGAGGAAAGCAGGCTGAAGGCAGAGAAATACAACTAAGTGGCTGCAGTAAGTTTATCTTGTGTGCTGGGAGTGCAGGATGAGAAAGAGAAGGCAAATCTGGGCGGTGGGGAAATGATCCTGAATAAAATCTAAGTATAGGTCTGTGTTTTCAGGCCCCATCTCTGTGACATATTCAGTACTGCAAGTAATTTACTCTTGTTTTAGCTTCAAAAGTTTGCCTTTCTGTGAAATTATCATCATCATTTCTGTGCTACCTAATTGCCAGAAATTAAAACATTGTGATAAAATATAACATAAAATCTTTAAAACTTTAAAGTCATGGGGAAACCACCAGCAGGGAAAGCTGTAAAAACACAGCAAAGCACACTTAAAAACAAAATGGAAAACTGAAAACCCTGGGAAAAGAAAGGGGTCTTCACTTGGGACTAAAAAGACCACAGTGTTGTATTTTCTGAGTGGCTGCACCCACCATGGCAGCCATGTCGTGAAGAAGCACCCCATGACAACCATTTTGTGATGGCACCTGTGACACTCTCACAAAATAGGTTTGTGTTTTAATAGGTTTTAATCTGCAGCCAGGGTGGATCTGGATTTTATATGTATTATGTTTTATTTTATTTTATGTAAGCCATCCCGAGGCTATGCGATGGGATGGCATACAAATACTCTAAATAAATAAATAAAATTCCAAATGTGCCCACCTGCCTAAAAAGCATGGAGAGCCCTGAGCTGGCCAGTGCCTGGATTGAAGTCTGTCCAACAAACAGACACCACTCCAAGTTCCATTGTGACGAAAAATCAGAATGTAATTTTAAAATGTCACTTTATTACCTGAAGGTGTGGCCAAGCAGCTTCTAGCGTAGGTTCATCTTCCTCAGGATCAAACTCTGCTCCAGTAGGATTGGATGATGGGGGAAGCGTCCGAAAGAGATTCACTGAAAACTGAAAGATACAACCAGAATGGTGAGAGATGCCTACAAGGTGATTCAGTAGGTGGATCAATGGATGATTCATATGTTATTTTAAGCCACCCAGCTCATAAGCCACCATTGGTTGGTTGCAGAACAATCCACAATACTCCTGACAGACTCTTGTGCTTGCTGCGGCTTGCTTCCCTCTCAGTCCTTCAACACGTATCCCAGGTGTTTCTGTGGCAGAACACCTTGTTGCCTTGTCCCTTTCTGCCATTGGCCTGCTGGGGTTACTGGACTACCAAGGGAACTCCCCTCCCCACTACATCAGACTGGCAAACAGAATTAATTTTCTGAATCCTCATGAATGCAGGAACATGTTCACTGCCTGTTTTTGTTGAGGGAGGCAATTTGCTAATATACAATGCAAAATTAGCTCAGTTGTGCTGATATCCTTCTCTTGTTGATCAATATCCTAGTCAGGTTCATCCTCAGTTTGTCTTTGCAAAAGCTGCTTAATGTAAGAGCACCTGCTCTCAAAACACCTCCTTTCTAGCTACTCCACCTCCTGATTGTCCCCGCCATCACTAGTTGATATCCACTCTGGCCAGGAACACTATAGTTGAACATGGCAACCATGACAAAATTCAGGTTTGAATGACACAAGAAACCCCAATGGATAGCAATAAATCTAAAACAAGCCATGGGCTCTTGGGTGGTTTGTGCATCAAAAATAAACCATCTGCTTATTCAGGAGGACCATGTCATAGGCTCAGCCAAATCCCACCTTACCAGGAAATCAATGAACCCAATGCACATTACCTTTCACCAAAGTGCTTGCTATCCTCCCCACAAAAAACCCTGTGAAACCAGGAAATCAGAAGCTTCATGCAAAGTCCAAATCCCAACACTCTTACAGCGAGAGCAGTGTTGATCGACTGCTCTGTATTTTGTGCATAGTTCTGTACCCATCTCTGATGCTATTAATACCTGTCACTTTCAGCATGTTGACAGTTGACTGATGTTGCCGAGCCAGCTGGTGCTCAGCCAAGATACTTGCTCTCTCCAAAATCCATACAGCATAATACCTTCATTAGGCCAACTCAAAGATCACAAAAATGTGCACGTTTTCAAGCCTGCCAGATCTCTTCATCAGGCAAGAAGATGCAACACTTTGCCCTATCAGCAAAGCTATTTTTAATGGAAGTAGAGAACTTCTATTTTAATGAAACTAGAAAACATGGGGGCATTCCTAGGGGTGAGGATGACCGAGTGGAGATGTGCTGCCAGGAACCATGGGTAAGTCTTACCATGATGACTGCTTCTGGGTAAATAGCCTCCGTGACTACATCCCGGTTGTGCGTGATGTACTCCACCATTTCATTGAGACCCGCTCGCTTTACCTCTTTGAACTTCAAGTCACTGAGTGGATCAGAGACAAAGTCAAAGAGGACACAGCACTGCCGCAACTTCTGTATGAACAGTTCTTCGCGTTCATGAGGAGGTGCATCTGAGAGTGGGCCAAAAGTAAACGGAAAAAGAATGAATTGCTCTTCTGTTCCCCAAAAGTGTGATGCAGCTCACTGGCTGAGCACTGACAACCTGTTGGTGCTATTCACTGTTTGATGCATATTCCTGTCATCTTTCAGTACTGTGGTCTTCCTAGTGTGAATTATGATATTAAATACAGCTTAATGAGAACAGGACCCACTACTAGTGCAACAGGAAGCTGCTGCTTTCCAAAGCAACTGGAAGCAAATTGAAATGCTCATTATTGTAATGGCCCTGGTCAGTGGAACCTGCAGAAAGGAGCTCCATTGATCTCATCAGAAATAAATGTGTTGGCCCAGTTCCAGGGTTGCTCTAGAAAGCACTAGCTTCCTGTTACACTGACAGTGTGTCCCACCAGCACAACATACTCAGCAGAGGTAAGAGTGTTCCATACTATCCAATGAAGACAATTTAAAAGATTGTATTTAAAAGATCATTAATTCAGTTTTGAACCAACAAAAGAAACAATGTGTATAATAAAAACATTTCAATTAAAACTCAAAACAAACCATTTTAAAAACCTCTATGGAGCTAGTCATATTTGGGGGGGGCATTTTTGGACCCCCCCCCACACACACCTCTCATTCCTACACATTTTCCAGATCTTAGCAGCAGGTCAGCCAGCAGGGCCTTAAGAAATGTTCTTAACACAAAGGCAAGTTCATGATTTTGTAAACCAGTCTAGTCCTCCCTTCCCTTCCCATCCCTGACCTCCCAGATGTCTTGACTGGCCATAATGGCTAGGAATTATGGGAACTGCAGCCCAGCACATCAGGATAGTACCAGTTTGAGGAAAGTTGGTGCAGGCAATCTGTACTCCCTGATCCATATGCTGCTTACCCTGCCTTCCGGTTACTGAACAGTGGTAGCATGTCCTTTGGGTCATGACCCAAAATATGCAAACTTACAGTGAAAACTCTAGGATGCTATGAGTCATTAAATTAAATTAAATTAAATTAAATTAAATTAAATTAAATTAATAAATAAAGTTTTTAGAAGTCATCCTATTACTAAAAGGCTCTGGATGGCTTACAAATAAAGTCTTGGCATTAAGATCTAAGCAACTCCCCAGGCCACAGATCTGAGCCCTGTGGCTCATGAGATGAAAGAAGGCATTCTATAACATGATTATTTGCTCTGTGCACACCCCCAAAGATCAGGGCCAAGCCTACCACCTGGGCTGGACTCTTTGGGTACTGTGAGACCAGGCCTCTTGACAATAAAGGGTTCAGAACAAGATCTAAATTGAATCCAAATTACTTGGGATTACAAAGTAATCCAAATACGGAGATTCCAGTGTTCAACTCACTCAGTAACGTACGCAAAATTGCTTCATTTACCCAAGTTATTCTGAATGTGAAATCTGGATTGCCTTTGACACAGAATCCCTACAACAAGAGCAGAATACATACTTGCCCTACTTGTGGCTTCCCTAATGCAAAAGAAAAAAAAGCATGATGGCGTGCCTTTCCTGCCAGAAGACGACTCATTTAAACTCTTAGCAGAATGCGGCATGAAGCCTTCCCATATTTAGGAGTTCCCCCTTCTCTCAGCCCTGCAATCACGTAAGTCATCATGACTCATTACTGAAGCAATTCCTGTCTTTACCTGGCAAAATCTTCCAGTGTGGCACACGCTTTAACTAGCAGCTGCTCGTGAGGGCACAGACTCCTGAATTTGCTCTCACCTTTAAGTGCAGGGAGCTTTTGAAGCTCCCGGTTTTTGCTTAGGTTGAAACGAGAGGAGCTCTGTCGTCGCTCTTTCTTTACAATCTGGGGTCCCCCTGAATACTTGATCTTATTCAACTGGGTTGGCGGAGGGGTGCTGTTGCTTGGACGCTTGTTTGAGGTCTGCTGCTGTTGCTGCTGCTGCTGTTGCTGCTGCTGCTGCTGGACCTGAAGAGGGAACAAAAATATACAAATCTAAACTGAGCTTTATCCTGCCGGAGGCAACTGTGTGATTTATTGTAGGTTTAATAACCATGAACTACGATAAACATCTTCTGCCTTCTTCCAAGTGCCATCTTGGATGGAAGCTTGGAGAAGGTAAAGAGAGAGGCCTTCTCAGTGGTAGCCCTCCATATGCAGAATCAGCTCCCCAGTGAAACCTACCTGGGGCAAATTCTGTCATATTTTCAGTGCCAGGTTAAGATAGCTCACTTTTCTGAGACATTTAACTATATTTAAATGCTCTAAGCATGAAGGGACATTTATATTGGCTGATCCTAACAAGTCTAACTGTACAAAAATTGTTCAATCTGTTACACTGGTTTTTACCTTTTGTATACTCTGAGAAATATGTTGTTTTTATGCTGTTTTATTACAGTTGTACACAGTGTTTTAAGAGCTGTTGTCAACTTCCCAGAGAGCTTTGGAAATAACATTGCAACAATTACACCACAACCACAACCATCATAATAAATCCATCCAAACTATGCTATTGACTTTTTTCTTCGGGTCCCATCACTGGCATCCATTCTATGCTCCAAACGATTAAATTCCACTGAAAGGAGACTTAATCCCATTAGAAGGGGGATAGAATATCCAGGTCTCACGGCCACATATCATCACTTTTAGTTATCTCTCTTCATTAACTCCTAATTTCTTCCCCTCCTGCTATTCACAGTTTTGCTGTTGGTGATTATTCAAATACTGATTCTACTTGAATCACCACAACCTTAGCACATGCTATCTGTACCTAGAAGATGATAATTCTCCCAGTGGCCTGACCTGAATGATCATGTTTAAACTTATTAAGCTGGGATTTTAAAAAGTCTTTTGCCTGTGGATGCAGTTCCGTCACTCCACCCTTCATGGGGTACAAAGTCAAACCAGGAACTTTCAAATTCAGGGATGAGCAGCCTTCTGGTTTGTGTAACCAACCTGACAGGCAAAATATAATCCTATGCATGTTTAGCTGGAAAAGGTCCTACAACTCCCAGCATGACCCAACCAGCATGGCTGAGATGCTGGGAATTGTGGATTGTCTCAGTCTAAACATGATAAAGCTTGTGCCAAAACTTGGCACAATTGTATATAACCCTAAGTATTTACAATTTTACATGCAGCCAAAGGTTCCTATAATTTTACTGTCAGAGAACACAAAATATATTTAAAATATTTAAAGAAATATTGAACAAGCTAACAAATTAGGTGCACAAGGTACTGCAACAGTATTTGGGATCTTTGCTCTAATCCTTTTCACTGCCATGACAAATAAACCCACTTGACTGGTAAAATAAGGATACATATCTACAAGTAGTTTACACATTTGTGCAGCCAAATTTCTACCAGACATTCTTCCCAACAAAGATCCAAAATACAAGCCACAGAAGACTATATAATTAATCATTTCCTTTACTGGTGGAGTTCCACTTACAAAAAGATGCTGAAAGATGGGAAAATCTGCATAATACACATAAAATTGTGTATTTTATTAGATGTTGTAAGCCGCCCCGAGGCTTCGGCAAGGGGCGGCATAGAAATGTTTTAATAAATAAATAAAAATAAATAACTCCCATCCCAATTTGAAGAAGGTCTAGTTTGGAAGCATCATTCCATAAATGCCTTCTTTTTACTAGAACCTCTAGTTCCACCAGCTGAAGTCACGTGCAAAATAGTGACTCAGGCCTATTTTTTATTTATTGTATATTGCACAAATCCTGAGACCATGGCAGAAATAAAACAAACATATCAAATCAATTGAAAAACCCAATACATAAAACTGATTAAAATTAATATATAAAAATCACTTGAAACAGGTTAATATTACTAAGAAGCAGACAGACAGAATAAGCCAATCTCAGTGGCATTGGAAGGGCTATCAAGCTACAATCATGCTCTCCAAACATTTTGAGGATTCACTGTGATATATTCCACACCACAAACTTCTCCCTGCATCTTGCAGCCTACAAACAAGGTAACATTTTTGGTAATGCATCAATTTGTCCTTTGAAGTATGAAATCCAACATTTCCTTCTTTTCCTAGTATTTCATTTTCTTTAGGAAGGGTTCTAAATATGTCAGTATATAACTGGCAATATAGCCGGTAATGGAAATATAGCCAGGAGTGTTTGCATTCCCACAAATGGTGGCAAAGTGACAAAAGAAACCACTCTGGTCAGTGGCTTTTTCTGAAGAATATACTATTGTTGGAGAAGTCCTCCAGGATGCTTCTGAATGCCTGTGATGCAACCTTCTCCAATCTAGCACCCTCCAGATGCGTTGGACTGAAACTCCCAATAGCCATGCCAACTGGTGATGATGGAGGCAGTAGTCCAACATATCTGGAGGGCACCAGGTTAGCACAAGCTCATTGATTATTTTATCAGTAAAATATTCCCACCTACCAGGTTCCAGCCTATTAGAAAGCTTCTCTGACACCCCCAGCAAGAATTCTGTGTCTCTGCCGGCACCAGGGTATCGAATTCCCACTAGCTTTCCATACATTTTCTGCAGGATAACAGAAGCTGGCAGGGTTTGGTGATGCTGTACACACTAGAACCTGCAATTCCCAATTAATATGGTCCTGTCTGCCAGAATGGGGGGATCAGCCCATACAAGGTCACCTTCTTTTACTGCAGGAAAGTCAGGCTTTGCAAAGGGCTGTATCTTGAAAAGCTTACTTACAAGAAGCTGCTGCAATCCAGAAAGTATCTTAAGACCTAATCCTATCCATGTAAAGCCAAAAAAAGTCCTATGACTCCCAGCATTCCCTAGCCAGTCATGTTCTCTATAGTTGGCCAGGGAATGACGGGAGTTGTAAGACTTTTTTCTGCCTAAGCCTCCATAGAATTGCACCCTTAGCTACTTGGCTTTCATGCGCTTCTTTCACAGATGTTGCATGCTAGCCCAGCACATTTTGTTCCTTCCTTTTCTTTCAAAAGTTTTAGATGCTGACCTTGCTTTCGATGGTCTTGTATTATTCCATAGCATAGTACATACTGGAATCTTAAGCTGGTGGTATTAAAAAGTATGAGTTGATGGGTATGTTTTTCCTTTTTAAGATAGGGTTCCATTTGCATGGTCCTGTTCTTTGAAGAGCTCTACTGTTTTGTGTTAAACTGTTGTTTGACAGCAACCATCACTGAAACATACTTTTAAAAATCCACCCATATCCTTTGCAGGGAGTAGGGAAGGATGGAACCTTTAAAGGCAGCCAAAACATCCAGCATCTGCTCTTCATAAAGGCCTGGCGCAGACAGGCCTGTACAAATCTCCTTATCTATAGCAGCAAGCCACCCCCATATTTATTTGAGTATTTACAAACCACTGACATTTACATATTTCACAGCAGTATATCCAAATCATAAAAGTTAACCAATACATGCATTGTTAGATATTGTATCTACATATGTATAAGACAGTAGATTCAATTACAGACAGATGGTTTGCATAAAAATTAAAAGGGCTGGTGCTTTTCTGACCTCGGGGAAAATTTTTCCATATAGTTGGCACCACTACACTAAATGCAGTATTTGTGGTTAAAGTGTTGGACTGGGAGAGATCCAGGTTTTAGTTCCCACCTAGCCAGAAACTCACTGGGTGACTTCGGGCCAGTCACTTACTCTCAGCTAACCTATCTCACAGCATTGCTGTTGTGAGCTGTGTAATCCACCTGGGGTTCCTTACAGGAAGAAAAATGGCAGAATATAAATGTGATATAATAATAGTAAGTGTCCAGAACATAAGAGCCATATTAGATCAAACCAGGTTCATTGAGAGCAGCATTCTATTCACACAGTGGCCAACCAGTTGCTCATAGGATCTCACAAGGAGGAACATAAATGCAATAGCACTGTCCTGTCCAACTTCTCCAGCAAGTGGTATACGTAAGCACACCACCTCTGATACTAGAGGTAGCATTTAAACCATCAGGACAAGATACCATTAATCTATCCAAACCATTTTTAAGGTCAAATTAGTGGTTATCGCTGTATCTCATGGAAGTAAATTCCATAGTTTAAGCATGCACTGTAAGAAGTACTTCCTTTTTTCTATCATGAACCTTCCAATATATATGGGATGACCACAGGTTCTAGCTTTGTGAGAGATAAAGACTTCTCCTCACCACTTTTTCCATTCTATGCATAATTTTATACACTTTTATCATGTCTTTCTTCACTAACCTTTCTCCTAAGCTAAACAGTTCCAGATGTTGTAATCTTTCTTCATAGCTGCTCCAACCCTATGGTTGCTCTTTTCTATACTTTTTCCAGACCTACAATACAATATCCTTTGTGAAGTGCAGTATCCAAACCTGTACATAGAATTCTAAAAATGGTTGTACCATAGATTTGTATAAGAAGAGCATGACATTGGCATTTTATCTGCTGTTTCTTTCCTAATTACAGGTAGTCCCCAGGTTACAAACGAATTCTGTTCCTAAGAACATCCTTAAGTTGAATTTGTAAGTTGTCAGGTCATGTATATAAAACATTTAAGAAGCCCTTCCATATATACTAAAACATCTTAAACACAATACATGATGATGATGATGATGATGATGATGATGATGATGATGATGTAACTGCAGGCATGGAAGGCAGAAAGAGAATCTATATGTATATGTGTAGGTATACAGTACAGTTTTAAACTAGTTTAAACAGAAAGAGAAAAAACAAAGAGTATTAAAGGTTAACAGTTGCACTAACATTAAGCCTAACATTAACTGGATGATGATGACAAAGATAGGGCTGGTGTTGGAGAGGATGGACCTGGTGCTGGAAAGTCAGCCAGGTGCTGGAGCAGGGGGCATTACCACTGCAGTTGCTTTCTAGTTCTGACTTTGCTGCTCGCTGGCACCACTTTTTCCCTCCTCCTTCCCTTTCCTCCTGCCTTCCCTTCCTCCCTTCCTTACTCCTTCCTTCCTTTCCCTGCTGCCTAGCATACACCAC